TAACTTTTTCTATTTTTAACCTAAAAAAAAAAAAATAGTTTTATAAACCTAAAATGACATGCTTTCAGACAGATATTATTACTTTTATGGTCTTTCCAAAAAGTATATTCATTTTGCCGAATAAAGTTAGAATTTTGGACGAAAGAATGATACCCATGAATTTATGGAAGAATCTTTGTTTATTTTGAAAAAATCAATATAAAAATTATAAAAAAATTATAATGATGTAGAAAAAGAGTAAATATATCATTTCTAATTATTATTTAATGCCCATAGTGCATTCGACACATAAATATGTGCGATGTTTATCGCACATTGGTCGCTTGCAGCTCGGACACTCAAGGTATGTTTTTTTGTCGGTGCCTCTGGGGCACACTTGACAGCGTTTATGCTTCTCTAGTTTCGGGCGGTCTTCGGTAGTCGTTGGCAAATCTCTCAACGCTAAAATATTAGCAATGCCAATTCTTATTTAAAAATTCTTATCTATAAAATCGATAAAATAACAATATAAAAATTTTTTGATAATTCTAACTTTCAGAATCATTAATTATATATTTACAATTTGATGTTGCACCAAAAAAAGAGGAGAAAAAAAATTGCTGCGGAAATCAGAATTTTGACGTAATAGTCACACTGGGTGTTATCCACCTCACAATTTTGGACGCTCCGCTTCGGATGGCTGCCAGAAAAGCACTAAAGAGCCAACTCAAATAATATCTACCAGAATCTGTAATTAAAGGTTCAAACTACCGGTATATGGTGGAACAAGTCCCATTTTCTCAAATTTAATGGGCCGTATTCCAGATCAAAAAAAGGCTGGGGTGAAATCCACCCCATGTGACTAATTAGGATTAAACACTGAGACATCTTTGCGATTCTTTCATTTGTACGACGTCACGCTGTGCTATTCGTGTCACGATTTTATTGAGCCAAGCTTTATCGCGGCCACGTTCCGCTCAGCCCTAATGATAATGACAAAACCCATTTTCTTTCGCTTTCCAGTTGTTCTCAACCCTTTTATTCCCAACTTCTGCTTCGAGTATTGTGCCATTATAATTATCATGCGAGCTTCTTTCTCCCGACTGGGCATTGACGGAATAATTAATAAGCATCACGCTAATTACTCGACGACGGTTATTAATATTTTCTCCTCACCTGCGCGGTAATACACTTTGGTCACACCAACGCAACAATTAATCATTTCGCACACAGATGCTACTCTGCACATTTATTTCTGCATCTGCACGTCTCTTACGACAGCACATATTTAGTCGGAAAAATTGCGTGTGTATTGTTACACAACGCGCTTCGGGATGTCATATTCTCTAATTAGAAACAGCGATCATAATAATAGCCGAAGAAATTAAGTGACTTTCTACGTTCATTATATTTTTACATCCGCGTTTTTTGTACGCGTGCGCGACCGATACAGATTCTTACTTGCAACGGGCAGAAATTCGAACTGGCGATCGATATGACGAACGAAGCGCGGTCATCCACGCGTTACAACTGGATAACCGGTAGAGTCACTGAAAAATTCCATCTTCCCGTTCGGATATCCCGCGAGTCCCATCGAGAATAATCACCGAGAGGGAGGCAAAGAAAATTAGTTTCGATCGCTCGATCCCTAGTTCGGTATCGTCTGCTCCGAATTTCCGGGCCAGGATTTACGCGACAGGTTTTATCAACCGCATACTAAAATATTCAATTATGTGCTTCTCCCACTCTCCCCTGCCTTTTTTTTATGGGGATATTCCACGGCGGTTCGCCAGTTGAATGTAAATGTCGAAAGTCACGGCGAATATTTCGCTGCCATGAGAGACTCACTATTAACCCTTTGTTCCCCAGCGGGGTGTTGCGCAATCCCACGAATTTCCGAGTTTATACATAGTTGCTCTTACGACGGTCACACAGCGGAAAGTGTTAATTGTATAGAAAATTAGTCCTGAACATTGCCGAAACGAATAAAAGTTGATTTTCTCTCGAAGCGCGACGCTGAATGATACACGTTGGAAAATCCGATTTAGAATACACGCTAAAATATGTATATAAAGGATTAGGAGTTATTATTTCTCTGATAAGCTGGAATTTACCGGCGAAATATCAGTCGGTTTCTATTCTTGCTATGAATTATATAATCGGCAAATATTTTATTAATACTCTCGTTATATCGGGTATATAGATATCACGCATCGATTGAGCGAATTGCCTGATAGCGCACCGCGATTATATTCGTTTATATTGTTATCGAAGTACTATTTGCTAGATACGGAGTAGCAATAATGTGCGAATAGTATGAATAATCATTGTGCACTTTCCTGGGTCATTAACACTTCATTATATATACATCCTGATATAATGGAATGATATAGACTGCATTTCGTTTTGCTTGTCGTTTTTAGAGTTAGTTCTCTATTGTCTAAAAAAAAATGGGTTATGAGCGTTCTCGCGTAGAGCCATCTCCATCTTTCCGAAGGTTATGCGTTATTTTATTATTCCCATTGCGGTTCGCTGACTTTCACGCATAATGAACGACATTTACGAGTCGCACCATCTAGCTTTCGCTCTATCGCGTGCCGTTCTATTTATTACCGGCAGCTTTTCGCAAAATCGCGTTCGAGTAACGGCGGGCGTTGATCGGTGAAACGATCTGTTGTTTACTCATTTTCGCGATACACTCTCGTTACTTTAATAAGGTTAATGTGATTGTTATCATACACTCGAGTCGATACTCAAACCGGTTGTTCGATCACTCGAGTACACAAGGAGCACACAAGGATACATTCCAATTACGTCGATCAATTTCACTCGTCCATTAGAAAATCGCCAACCGTTACTTCCCGCAATTCTTTCTTTCGACGTAGTAAATACTCATTAAACTTTTACTCTTAATCAAGCGTTCTCATCATAATTACAGTTTCTGCAGTTTTATGGAACATTTTCTAACGATAGTTTCAGTCAGCAAAATGATACACTATAAATATGAAAAAAAAAACTAATATATGTATATCTAGCACTTTGCAAAAAATATCATGAAAAAATCCTCTCTTTAGTTTTTGCAAACTAAAAATGTGCGTATGTTTCAACTATAATATTTAAATGGAAAATTGTTGTTTATTAAATTTTCTGACACAGTGTTATTTTTACGAAAATTTAATTTAAATAACGTTAAGAAAATGGTAGAAAATATTTTAAAAAATTTTAAATTATTAGTACAAGTTTTTAAACTAGCGCGTGTTAGTGACATACATTTAAATAAGAATTCTAGAAAGTTCATATAAATCAGTAAACAATATTCATAAGTCCATTCACTCACCGCCCACAACGATGAAGTCGTAATAGTATTCAGGCGGGTTCACCGGTCTTACACGGTTGCACGACTCGGACACTGTTTCTTGGGATCGTACCAGAGAATCCAAGATTGTCATAAATGTCAGGAATTGCGATCCTGGACAGACCTGGGCAAGGCTCGGCCCGAGGTAAGGCTCCGGGCATGCTGCACCGACCGACAGATCGTACGACATCCTGTGAACAATGAATATCAAAATGACAGCGTATCTGCAATCGTTGCGAAAACTCGTGATTCATTGATTTGCATAATACGTAATAGATCTCTCTAAAATTGTTGTTAAATAATAATAATGAATGATTTGCGACAAAGCGTTTGTTAAAAGATATTTATTACCGCGGTACTACCGTGGTTACCGGCTGTTCATTCTTATTTATGACAGAAACATCATCTCTGTCACGATTATTGTCCTAAATGCTACAGCCCGGTTTATCGTCGCGCCCGTCGGTTGTAAAGGAAAGTGACGTGAAGAATGACGATCGTATATCGATTACGATATTCGGTATCGTACTTAATGGCACTTAACGGATCAATAGAAGCGCAACGGGAACGTAAAGGCACGATTTATGTGGCGCACGACGACACGTGAGCGTGCAATTCCGACTATCGGACGAAATCATATTTAATGACGTTCACTCGCCGCTGCCCACTGGCATTCGCGTTTCGTGCAGTTTGACTTTTTTTTTACCGGCGATTAATGTCCATATCCGCTAATCGAAGTCAGGGACGCATTGAAACCTCACATAAAACATAAAAGCGTTGACTTTCTTGCGCAAGAATCTGGGGACACTTGCTTTATGCACAATCATGCAATTTAATTGGAAAAGTGCATATTCATATATAAAGATTATTTATTGTACTTCCGACAATCTTCCGGTGCGGTAATCGCGGATACATCACAAATAAGTTAGGAATCGCGACGGAATTTCGAGCTTCCGTAGTCCAGGCTCCAGTGAATAATTTCGGCGTTTCAATATAATGGTTTTATTTCACAAAAGAGAGAGAGAAAGAGTTAGCTTTGTTCTTACAAATTTTTCTTGTATTTTTTTCCTCTATTATATTGACTTGCATGGTACAACAGGTTTCTTGATTTATGATGATATAATTATTATAACTATAATTACACTCGATACGGCGTTATTTATCTCGTAGCTTCTCTGCGAAATCTCAAAGTTTGGTTTAGCGCTTTGAACAACTCTGGACAAAACGACACTTGATGATACTTTTGAGGGGCGAATGCAAATAAGAAATGTATCTTAGTGTTTATACAATTTTTGCGTAATATTCTAGTGAGGAATTTTTAATTGCCCAATTTTTTGGATTTACAAAAATGCACTGTTCTGCATATTTTTGAGAATGAGTGCAATTTTCCAAGCCGAGTATCATTTTGACGTATGACGTATTTTGTTTTGGAAATGGAATGCAACGTAGTACATTCATATGCCTTGTGATCATCTGCATCGAAATGGCACGCTGACGCTACTAAAAGTTATATTTATGTTCTAGTTTTATTAACAACTAATTTAAAATAATTACTTTCGGGCCGTGACATATTTAATTATTCGAGCGAGAAATTTGTCGCTTTAATATCTTCGATATTTTAAATTTGAATTTAAGGGCGCATGCGAGATGTTACGCACATTGATTATTTATTCTTTGTTCTCTCAATGAATAGCCTATATCATTACCATAAGCTTTCTTCCGCGACGATAGAGAAGAGCAGTGTTTAACGTAAATAAATATACGCTTTAATTAGCGAGATGAGTTAATAGCATTGTAATTAACTGAGCGTGTTAATTAATTCATCCCTAATTAACGCGGCTACCTTTCTGTGCCATTACGCGTGCGCATTACTGCCTGGAGGAACAATATGCGAGCTACAAAGAGTCGCGGCGTACGAGCGAAGTGCAATGATTATCACAATCAATTTGCATAATTCGTCCTTCGTGTGCCGTTCGAAAATCGCGTATTACTCCTTCCGCCGCGCCGGGACATCCCCCGAAAATCGTGCTGACGTTAATTACGTGCGCTAATTTCGTAACGTCAAACCCCCTTGAGTCACGTGAATCACGAATGACACGAACGAGATCGCGTTTTATGTCCGCCATCTATAATGTACACACATCAAACTGTTGAACATATACGGCAAACGCGTGTATGATTTATTGCAACGAGCTACAACACGAGATTGTGTGACAAAAAAAAAAAAAAAAGAGAGAGAGAGAAAAACATGATAGAGGGCCCGCGGTGAGCGGGAAATGAATCGATAAGCTTTTATACTGTGAAACTTTTTTCCGAGTTTAGTAATAATTATCATGCAATTTAAATATCGCGATAGTAAGGTTGTTATTAATGTTAAAAAATTAACAGCAATTTAAATTATCAGCGAAAAAACTTAAACTTTGTTTTTTTCAACTAGAAATGATTTATTATCGATATATTTTGATGCATGTATGAAGTATAGTTAAATGATACTAACGTTACACTGGCGTGGCTGTAGCTTCCTCGGCGGATTTCTTATCGATACACTCGCGGATAAACACGTGATCCGATGAAGGCTCGCACGTACAGCGTGACTTTGGTGCAGCAAACGGACAAAGTGTAACTGTAAGACCTCTCACCGTAGAACGGTATTTTATAATTCATCTCCCACTCTAGCTGTGCTATTCCCCGGAAAAGCACCTACCATAGATCACGTCAATGGATCCGATTGTAAGCTTATCTTCTGATAATATTCGTGCTAATCATTATATCGTCAACGTGTGAAAAAAACACGTGTCATTTTTATCGGAAAAAGACGGCGGTATCCATCGATGAACTATCGTGATCGATGGTTTTTCCAATTGAAAAAGAAGTACGGAATAATGCAGGAAGCTTGAGTGCAACAGTGATGCAATTTTTCTTTTTTAGAGATTGAGAGAATTAATCTAAATTTAAGTTTTTCTCCTTTAAGATTCATTTTCTCAAGTTCCTAGAAAAGTGTATTCGTAATTACCTCTTGCGGAAGATCTTTAAAAGTCTATTAAAAGTATATGAAGAAGCATATTTAAAAGAACCTTTGATAGAATTTTCAAATTTTAGACGTTGAAAATATTCAAGCAGAAAGTAAAATTAAAATAGAAGCATTTTTTTGTTAAAATTTCTGCTTAAATTGTCTATAAACATTTGTGTAGTGTAAAAGTATCACGATCGACGAATCGGAGTAAGAATAATAATGATACACGCTAATTTGCACTGCGTAAACATGAAGATTGATTATCTATTCATAATTAAGTCATCTCGCGTTTCATCAAATGCGTGATTTTATCTTGCATATCCACGTTTATTGTAACCGTTTAGTTGATATCTCAATGCAACATGGTGAATTCAACGGAACAATTCGATCTTCGTGTCCGGTTTATTAACGCATTGTATGCGAGATATTCGTTGTCGGTAATGCGCGAAACGGCGGCTGTCCGAGAGGGATATGTACGAGAGATCATCATAAAATATAATATGCTTGCACAATCGCTTAAACGCGATAATAACAATCGAAGCGGCGGGAAGGTGTACGCTCGTACGTTGATCAACATGATGCTAAATCAATGTTACGTTTCCATAGACACGTGCTCGTACACATACGCAAAATATAAATCATAATTCCACAATTTAAGTCGGCAGTGGTAAATGAGGGACGTGTTATTTGCGTACGTCGCATTCATTTACTTGCGTAACCACCGAGCGTGAAGCGCTCGGTGTCAGCAAAATGCGGAACAACTATTTCTTCGTACACGCAATTGCGGCATAACCGTGCTACATGTATGAATGATGGTCCCTTAACACGCATACATGCGTCACTATATAACCACGACTCTTTCGCCCATGAAAAACATTTGTGTAATTAACAACCGATATTCAATTTCCGGTAAAAAAAAAAAAACTGTTCGAGATTTTCCAATTATCCGATTTTTGTTTTTCGATAAAAGAGCAATTACATACTAAAAATCACTTAAATTTTAAAAAGATGCGCATTACATGCGATGCATTCAATGCATGTAAAGCGCGCAACGTGGAACATTGAACTATGACCGATATAAATCACACACAGACGCATCTATTTTCTGATAATTAAAAAATCTAGATATTAAAAATATTTGATTTTTTCGTAATATTTCACTTTTTGTATACTCGTAATATTAATATACTTTTGTATATTGCAGTGTTTCTCATCATGAATCATTGTTATGCGTATTAGCGAAATTATCTATTTGCAGAGTCTCTATCTGCAATACCATAATTAAATGTTTATGCAAATCCGATATCTCGTAAGTGCTTTTGAGCCAATTTTAATTAGATAGAATTTCTCTATGACAATTAACATCTGAATCGAAATATTAAACAATATTGCCAATAAAATTTAATTGTAAGATAAAAATAAATTTTACAGACGAGATGCCACTCGAAATGCAAGTTTAATTATTATGGATAAATTTATGCGCGAAACATTTTTTAAAGCATAATTGCAAGTATCTAATATTCGCTGTATCATCAGCATGCAAAAGTGTACTTGTCGGTGATATAGTCGAGAATGCATTATCTTGATGTATCTTAATGCATCTGTATACTCAATTAGACATTCATGAGAATTATTAACAAGCACCTAATTATTCTGTTCAAAACGGGATAATTTTCGGCAGAAATAAAATTGCTTAATTTCGCGACCGCGCGCGTTATCACGCTATTTTCGCAAACAACGGCGATGCTTTCGACATACATGCATTAATGGAATCGCGATAATCCGAGTCTGCAAAATCCCGGCGATCGCCAACGAGCGTCCATTACTTTAATACACCGTATCAATTTACCGAAACAATTTGATCTTCGCGGATAAATTATTTAACGCGATATCGTCGCGCGAGAAGTTGCGCCGTATAAATGACATTTCTTCCCCGCGCGTCGCACAGAAAGCGATTACAGTATAATAATATAATTGCGTGTGTATATTGTACAAACGATAGCGTCACTCCACTCGGTTACGATTCACGCATACGCGCCGAGATGCGCTCGCACACCAAACGAGTCAACGCTCTTTCGTTCGTTTGCACGGCGGAATATGGCCATTACCGAAATTAGCGTTGCCGATTCGATTACACGCGATTATTACGTCGTCGGCCGGGTGCCGTGTATGTATGCGTGCTCGCGCGCATAGGATTGTACACACATTTCATGTATTCGACGAGATCAAAGGCAAATCGGCGATGCCGATGTTTCGCGATGACTTTAATGAGAGATCAGGTAGGATTTTATGACGCTGACTCGTTGAAAAACACATCGCGCGGGCGATAGAGATATTGGATTTTCCGTGAAAATTCTTGATATTCGAGTCGCGGGGGGATTGCACAGTTAATAACCATTATCTATACAAATGTTAGATAGTCTACGAGACATAATATCATGGGAATAAGATTAAAAGCTTCGAGTTTTAGTGACTGTTAACTGTCTGCTTTTAAGCAGACAAAATGTATTCTGCGAAACTATGATAATTGGCTTAATGCAATCCTCGTGTCGAGTCAGTTTATCCGTCCAACGAAAAACACATAGAATTCAACATAAAATAATCATTCCGCGCTTAACTAGACTCGTCACCGATTTTTATTCGATACGCGATCGTCGTAATATGTGTTATGCAACTAAAAAAATATCTTCAATCTTGTAGGAAGAGAAGTATTAATAGCAATTTGTTGGACGGCTTTAAAAACGGCACTAGGTATAAACCGCAACTGCGAGTAATCATCCGCGTATTTTTATGATCGTTGCATCCATTAGCGCGCAAAATCCAGCCTTCAGAAATTATACGCCTGCCGCAAAATTAGTCTCGATTTATGCACCTTAGATAATCGGTAGTCGCACGAGAACCGTGTTGAGAAAAATCGCGGCGCCTGTCCGCGACGTTTCGCGAGTTCCGCAAATCTTTTAATGCGTTCCGTGTCATTGAGTATCGATTATCGTCGCGATCTACCGCGCGAAATCGGTAGGAAGCACTCTCGGCGCTGGATCGCTCGGAAATGCTCTTTGAAGATATGACGACGTTCAGGACGAAGCCTTGAGGCATTAATTTACGTGTTTCTTGCGACGGATTCGCACTGTTTCGTCGCGCACTCGCGGTCGGCCGCGTGAAAATCATATTTCGCGGGGAAACTCGGTACGTTGACGAACAATAGAACTTCCGGCTTTTTTTCCGGTTTGTCGCGACCGCTGTGTCGGACCGACAAGGCCTCCAATAAATTTCAGCTTGCACTGACGGCGAGAGCAGCGATGCACGCGCGTGCAATATCGCATCCGCGATACCGTCGCGGGTGAGAGAAGAACAAACAGACCCGGTTTCATTAACGTCGCCGTAATGCGTTAAGTAGAACGAAGTTCTTAATGTCGCTCTAGGCGTTCTGTTTGTACATAAACGTAGAATGATAAGACATAATAATTTTGAAGATCTTGAGAGAACATTTTTTTAGAAATTTTGCTGCATTTCTCAAAGCATTTAAGTTAGATTCTTGAAAAAAAAAGAATATTTTATTACACTGTTCTCACATCTCAGTTTAATATGTACTCATTTTATATTAGCGTATTTCCGTGAACTTTTGTGTTTTTAAGATAATTTTTTATAGCAGTATCTATCTGTGTTAATCTCTTAAATAAAACAATGTTAGAAGACATATAAAAAATATAAAAGAAACAATACCAGGCACTTTTGCATAACTCAGCTTTATTATGATTTTTAATTTGCTCCGCAAGTTTCACGGGCAAATACCACAGTCTCGCTTTCTATTTTTGCTACTCGAAGCGCGTTTCAAGTTCGGCTTGACCGCACTCGTTAATTCCTTTAGGCATCAACACGACCTCCAACGGTCTGTGACGGTTATTTCCGCGGCGTCTTGAGTTTCCTTTTTCATCCACATAAGCCGTGAATCTAATCGAGCCGGACGGGCCTCTCTTTAAGACGCTGTCCAAACCAGCAGACGGCACCGAGTGCTTAGACGAAAAAGCAGTACCGCTTCTTGTGAGCAATTTAAGAGTTTCCCGGGAATTGGCGTGTGCGCGACTAGACATTCGTTTATCTTAATTCCGACTTGGAAAGAACACGATGCTCTTTTATTCCGACGCTCGTTCGTTCAAAGACGCGAACGTTTTTCTCGTTAACGTCGAATGTCTTTTGAATGCGCTCCTCCATGACGCATCCATTTGTGCAATGTATTTTTATTTTGTACAAATCTTTCCGCATCTTATTTTTTCTCCTATTGTTTTTCCCCAGTTAATGCACGTGCCAATTGTTGTACGAAGACGTTTCGCGCGAACTCGAAGAAACCCGCGCGTGATCGAGCAATTCCAAGCGGATCGATAATCATCTCCAGCCGGAACAAAGCGATGACGCAGCGCGACGCGTCGAAGCTCGCTGTGTAAAATTTCCCGCCGTAAAAGCGGCAAGAATGGGTCGTGATTTTATAAAACGCATGTTACGTGGGCAATGATGCCATCGTCACGATGACAAAACACATATTACGCGGCGAAATAAAGCTCGAACCGCGACCATCCGCGTTCGTTAAGTGAGCGATTGTTCGCTGTTAACAAGATAAAAGG